TTACACGGTCAGCTGCAAGCGCACCGGTGTGGCCACATTAGCAGCTCTTGCAATGCCACAGAGAGCAGTGCATTGTGGTAGCTATCCCAGTGTGCAAGTGGCTGCAGCCTGCTTTTCAAATGGGGGGGGGAGGTGGAGTGACACAGGCAGTGTGTTGTGTGTAGGTGGGGGAGACAGTGTTTTGGGGGGCATAGAGTGTGTCAGCATGCTGTCTTGTAAGTTCAGACAGCAGCAGAGGGAAACCCCGACATCACGCCCCCCCCCCCCCACCCACGCCTGCCTCGGCGGCAGCAGCATTCCACAGTAATGGTTTGCTTTGTGTCCCGGAGCAGATAAGCACGCCGGCTGTCAGAAACGGAGCTTTGAAAGGGGATATCCCCATGCCTGCAGCTGAGTTCAAAGCAATGACAAGAGTGGCCACTTGCCTTCAAGGGATTATGGGACAGTTTCGGAGGCCAATCACAGTGCAGTAATGCAACACGTCATCCACACTGACACCTTGGCGTTTCAGCCAGGGCGCAGCAAGCTTTATGCTTCTCGTGGAGGTGGATTACCAGGAGCGCTCCAGCTGCAGAGTCCAGGCACTCTAAGTGCCTTGCCAGCATGGACACCTCAGGAGTTAGGGCGCCTGGGGCTGATTTAATGTGCTCTAACTTGCAAGTGTAGCCAAGGCCAAAGACTCAGTGAACTGAATAAGGGTGGTGGGGGGTCTAAGTGAGCATGGTCTGACCCGAAGCCCAGTTAAGTTGATGGAAGTTTCCACTGGACTTTGGATCAAGCCCTAGGTCACTCTAAGGGTTCGGAGGAGAAACTGGGCTGTGTTCATTGTGCTGTTATTCCAGGTGAAGGCTATTTAGACTTAATTGCAAAATCAAGGAGGAGCGGACGGGCTGGGAGGAAGGGAGCCCACGTTTCATGGACATTTGATGAAGAGCAATTGTGTGAGTGGAAATTATTACAAGGCACAAAAAGTCAATGGAGCGTAGGGCTGAGACAGCTGAAATGTGCAAGGTTGGAGCGCACGTAAGGATCGGATCGATACAAATCGGACCTGCTGTAATGCAATGCTAATATAATATAGTCAAAACAGTCAGGGGGGAAGAAAGAAAATCAGTGATAAGGAAAATAAATGGCTTCCCAAAAGAAAAAGACATCGTATCTGAGACACTAACCTGCACTGGGGCAAGTTAGCGGTCACAAATGCACTGGCGGGTCTGGATTTAACTGGCAGCACTAATGACCTGCACAATGTGTCCTAGTTGCTTCTTGCAGAGGAGCTTAGTTGTTTTTCCTCTGGTATCCTTAGCACCTTTGGAGGTGTGGATGTCTGTCTGACGGCTCCATTTACAACACTCAATTGAGAGCATACACTATGGGTAGAGAGGAGGCAGGGAGCAGCTAAGGCGATATCGATCCAGTGATCTAGAAATCCGTAGGGATGAAAGGGGAAAAAGATCTTCCAAGAACCAGAGAAATTGGAGAGGGAAAAGGTCAGATAGGTTATCTAATCCCCTGCTGGTCCAGGACTGTTCCCATCTGTCCTTTGCCCAGTCCAGTATTCTATGACTCAAGGCATGGTGCTTCCATCACTTCCATGGGGAGACTATTCTGCAGGCTTACGGCTCTCTCGTGTTAGGATTTATTTCTTGGTATTCGGTCTAAATTTCCCTTTGCTTAGGTGCCGCCCATTTCTCCTAGTCATAACCCCCCAGGATATCTTAAACAATTCCTTTCCCTCCTTCAGAGACTTGCATAGGAAGGGATGGTGGTTTTCATTATGCAGGCAAGCCCATGGTGATGAATCTGACTTACCTGTCTATAGATCTGTCCAGGGACTGGCAGCTCCCAGAGAGTGACTCATCAGGACTGATGAAAGGTTCAAGCATCTTTGGACAGCAAAGAAAAGGGAAAACATTGACACAATGTGCTGTAAACCCTGAATCGGAAAATCCTAATAGTCTGTTTTAGATAATCCTCCAGATCTTCAGCAGGTGTAAATTAGTGATTTACAGCAGTGGAGGGTCTGGCCCTGTACATCTGTTACCCCATCCAATAGGGAATCTCAAAGCATTTTGCAAACAAATTCATTAAATCTTCTGACACAGTAGGGATGGAGATTCTTCTTCTCAATTATTATTTACCGATAGGGAAATCGAGGCACAGGGATTAACCTCCTGATTTCGGAATGTGCGCAGAGTCAAGTGGGAGCTCCACATTTTCAGCGCTTTTGAAAGTCAGGGCATACGAGACTTGCCCAAAGCCACCTGTTAACCTGGGGCACACCCAGGAATAGAACTCTGGCCTCCTGACTCCCTGGTCGCTGCCTTTAATCACAAGCCCACCCGTCCCCTCTGTTAGTAAAGGGTTAACAAAGAGGTTAGATCAAAGAATTTACTCTGCTCTCCCCAGCTCAGCGAGTCAATAAACGCTGTATTTGCGTGGGCTCCTGGATGACACATTTTACTAGATTGTGTTAATTATATCTGATTGTTAACAACAGAGGAGTTCTCCTAGGTGGCTTAGGGAACCACAAAGGTTACACACACTTCCACGGCGTTTTCTCCATGCCACCCAGCGGTGTTATAACAACAATCCCACTTAGTCCTTTTCATCTACAAGACACTTCACAACTAATAACTAACACCCCCTCCGCCAGCAGCCCTGTGGGGTCGGTGCTAGGCCCAGCTTTCAGAGGGGGAAGCTGAGGCAGAGAGGCTAAGCGACTTGGCCAGAGCCATGGAGTATAGCAGGCTTGGAGGTGGGATTAGAAACCAAGGAGTTCCTCGTGCCCTGTGCTATGCTTAGGGTACTAGAGCGTGCTTCTCTTTCCCTGTGATGTTTCTATGGTTACAGCTATTTAACTGGCTGTCATAGCAACACTCATTTGTTTTGGTAGGAGAGTCCCAATGGAAACAGTAACTTCCCCCCCTTCACACTTCTAGCCCAAAGGCTGATGCGTTGCAGCAATCCAGCCAACGAGGAGATCCCCATCCTTTGGGGCCCATTGTTGCCATCCCATGCGATGGCCACAGAGGGTCAGTGGAGAGCAATGGGAAAGTCCCCAGTGTGCAGTCTGTCATCCCCTGGATCCCCATGGTCCCACCACTAGTAGGCCAGCTGCCCCAGAGTTACAACCCCCAAATGTCTCCTGAGCTGGCCCTGGGGGTAATAACTACAGGCAGCCAAATCACCAGAGTGCAGCCACCCCTTGGGGGGGTCGGGAAGGTGGGAGAGGGGCAGTGGCCAGCCCACTGTACACTGCTGGTAAGAGCCAAGACTAGAACGTAGGAGTCCTCAGCTAAGCAGTGAAAGCGTGGGGTCAGATCCTCCGCTGGCATAAATCAATGCAACTCCATTAAAGTCAATGGCCACATGCTGACTTACATGTGCGGAGGATCTAGCTCCCCCCCTTCGCTTTATCTAACCCTAATGAATGCAGCTCAGAAACCATCTACAAACAGTCCAAGCCCAGTGTTTGGCTGCTAGGCGCACAAGACATCTGCACTCAGCTGCTGCCAAGGCTCCTCCAGAGAGAGTGTTCAGTTTATTAATGGCCATATAACAAACCTTTGAAAACATAACTTTGTCATGGAAACCCTGGCCCAGCCTTCCTGCCTGTGTTGCTAGCAAGGGCCACGATAACGCAGCAGACACACTTCTTCCCCTATGTCCTCTTTGGTGGCAATGTAAGAGCATCCTATTTCTGAAGACACTTATCCCCTTCTTGACATTTTGAACATTGTCCAGAACGTGTGATAAGAAAGGGCAGCACCGCATCCCTCCCACGTGGCCAGTGCTCACCAGGGCTGCGTTTTCAGTTTGCAGGGCTCTAAGGCCCTGACCCTGCGAGGCGCTCCATGCGAGCAGACCCCTGCACCCACAGACTGTCCCATTGACTTCACTTGGGCATCGGGATCCATCTGCATGGGGAAACTTGCAGAATCGGGATAGAGCAAATGGAGAGGGAAGAAGTGGGGCATAAGTTGCTTTCCCCTCCAATTTCACTACAGCTGAAAATAG